TTTAAAGGACGCCTAATCCACTCGATGTAACATTGAGTCGTATAGGGGTACTTTGAGCCTCTAAGCCGTTAGGTTTTGATAACAATGACCACTTCTTAAATAACATTATGTAACACAATTTTTGTTCCTGGGTAGTAAGTGTTATTTCGTAATTGCTTATGCCTAAAAAGTATAGAAAATGGATATTCCCACAAACTTTGCTTTTGTGACCGGGACAGTGATATTTTGAAATTTACCTATTTTCAATGAGAAAACGGGCGAATTTGTGTCTTTTTGTTCACATAAAGTCAGAAAAAACAACATATGAATCAAAATCAACGTGTATTTATACTAAAGTAATACAAAAATGACTACACAAGATTTTGAAGTGAGTAGTTTTTCGAGATTTACGATTATACTGTAAATCACTTTCACGAATCTGCCCCAAATGTAGTCTCCCATCATGTTCTCGTTATACTGTCCTTGGTAGTGGCGTTCAAAGTCCAGTATATCCTGGTAGAAGCGCTCGCCTTGCTCCTCCGAGTACGCTCCCATGTTCTCCTTGAATTTATCAAGATGAACATCAAGGATATTGACTTTGAGGGACATCCTACAGGCCATTATGCCGTAATTCTTCACCAGTCTCAACCAGCTCCACATAGTTTTCGACCTAGTGATTGCCCAGGAAGCCACGAACCACTGCGACAAAGCTGTTCCAACCTTCTTGGGGAATTCATTGCACTCCAGGATCTTCTTGATCTGTGGTTCAACGAAGACACCGGCTTTGACCTTTGCCTCAGACAGCTTAGGGAAGAAGTCTTGAAGGTACTTGAAGGCTGCCGACTCCTTATCTACAGCTCTGACAAATTGTTTCATAAAGCCCAATTTGATGTGCAGTGGTGGCATCAGCACCTTCTGGGGGTCCACCAGTGGCCCCCACTTGACGTTGTTCCTCCCCACAGAGAACTCGGTTCGTTGTGACCAGTCCTGCCTGTGGTAGTGCGCCTTGGTGTCCCTGCTGTCCCAAAGGCAAAGATAGCAGGGAAACTTTGTAAAACCGCCTTGGAGGCCCATCAGGAATGCCACCATTTTGAAGTCTCCGATGACCTCCCAGCCATACTCATCATACTTCAAGGCATCCAGCAAGGCCTTTATGCTGTTGTAATCCTCTTTGAGGTGCACCGAGTGAGCCAGGGGAAGAGATGGGTACTTGTTACCATTATGGAGCAGCATGGCTTTAATCAAGTCGTTGAGCTCTTTTTGGTTGGGGTAGTATGGGTTTATATCCTCAGCTCCACCTCTGAAATTGTCATCTAGATCTACAAGGTTTCCTCGCTCATGGCAGTGTAGCACCGGGGCGATGGATGAAGGAAGGTCCGGATATGTGATAGCAGGTGCATTATTGCCAGTCCGACGTTTAGAAGGGTCCACCATGCAGAAGTAGCAGTTGCTTGAGTGGTCAGTGGGTTCCCGCTAAATTCTTCGGATAGCGAACTTCATGGCTCTCTTTTCACCTCTGTACCATCCTACAAAAATACATTTATTTCACCCATAACTAATTTGTAAGATATTCTTGCAACATTTCATATATTATATCTTTTGTCAATAACGTAGAAAATTGTAAAACATTTACAAATGAATTTTTTTTACAATTTTAAAAATTGTAACAAATGTTATAACATTAAATTGCGAGCAAAAATTGTCCATCTTACCTTCCAGAGTTTTTTTGCATTGCTCGCAGGTGAAATGAGGTGCCCAGGGTTTGTCTTGATCCCTGACAGGCATGTCAAAATATGCCTTATAGGCCTCACACATCTTAGCAGATGCTTCCACAGAGTACTTTTTCGCTCTTGTCTTCATAAATTGGCCGCAGACATAGCAAAATAAGTCTCCCGGATGCTTGCAGCCTCTTGATGTCATCTCAGAAAAATGCAGATATTTATCCACTTTAGGCAGCTGGAACTAAACTGAACTAGTGGGCTTAAGGCCCCTGGAATGCTCTGGAAAATAGGGACATTTCAAAATATCACTGTCCTGGTCACAAAAGCAAAGTTTGTGGGGAATAATAGCCATTTTCTGTACTTTTGAGGCATACGCAATTAGGAAATAACACTTACTACCCAGGAACCAAAAAAATTGTTACACCGTCATTTAACCAACGCTGACCACTGTTCTGTGACAAAGAATGGTCCAAGCATCGGCAGAGTCAAGGTCGGGGTGATTTCAAAACCGAGGTCACGCAAGGCGACGTCACCGTCATTGGCATTGGCCAATGACGCCCTCCTCTCCCAGACACCCAGTGTAGATTCCAATTCATTTCTGTATTACTTTCTACATCCCTTTAAAACAAATGGAGATTCTCTGAGGGCCTAGGAATTGCCCAGTAGAACCCCATTCATTTCCATGGCGATTCCACTTGGTTGGCCAGGCCCCACCGGGCCCTCCTTTTTTTGCCAGAATTCCACGCCGGAGTTGGGGTGGAATCAGGCCAATTCTGCACACTTCATTTGCCGTATGTTGCAATGGTGATTCCACTAGTCGACTAGGCCCCTCAGGCCTTCCCTTTTTGCCTGAAAATAGAACTGGGCTCCAAGTAGCCCCCCCCCCCCCCCATCCACAAATCTGCCACTCTTACAATTAAGTATTGTATTCCAGTCAAAAATCTAATCACATTTACACACTGTGAGTCGTGATCATTTCCTCGCTCCAGTATGTATAGATGAAATGTCCACATCCCTGACCATAACGTGTATTTTTTTACATTTCAACAATATAAATGTGTTTATATTTAAATCAGTATTTCATACAGATACTTAAAGGTTGGCTAAGCAATTTAAATTGTATTCCACTCTAAGAAGTGTAGTCCCAGGGAATGCTCAACAGAAGGGCTGATATGTTAGACAGATGACCAACCATGCCTGTCCATCCACAGGGACCCTGCAGGGATCAGCAATAATCACTTCTGTTTCCGCACATCTGCTTCTGAGCTTCTCGTGTCTGGATAGGTTAGCTCCAAGAGCAGTGTGCACAGCAAATAAACTGTAGAGCTGCCAAACATATTGCACGAATTTAGTCCTTCGATTAATGTGTGTTAATTTAGATGATGCCAAAAATGATCTCTGTGGGCTGATTAATCCCTCCAAAAATAAAAAATAAAATATAAAAATTGTGCAGTGAGAACAATTGAAAAAATATAATTGTGGAGTAATTTCCCTTTTTAATATACTTTGTTGTGTAAGAGGAAAATAAAAACATAATACTCGACGTTTGTTTACCCTACTGGGAGATATTTATATAATTGGCTGGTTCACATCTATACATCGCATTTACATGTATAGCTTTGCTACAACAGGATGGTGGCTATATGTGATTAGGTTTGGAGAATCTAATTGATAAACTTGAGAACCTGATTAAACTCATGAGTTTCTGCCTGGAATTGGGCCTAGGATCTCTGTGGTGCAGGCACAGTGCTCGGATGCAGGCAGTATAAATAATCCCAGACAATATTTACTCATATAACAGGATATATGCAATGTTTTTTTTACGGTGCGTAATATCTGCGAGTGCATACTTTTAACATGTATGTGGAGGTTCATTCTCTAAAAGCATGACCTGATGCCCTCCAATATTGTTAGTTATACTGTCATATAACTATAGAACTCCCAAGAGTAAGTTATTCATAATCCAGTTTAGAAATTATGTATTATACTTTAATTACCATAGAAATTGTAGTGGCTTAGATGGAAGAATACCTGTTTAATTTACATGTTGCCATGCATTTGTAATTATATCCACTGTTAACAGGTGCCTACGGTGTATTGTATTGTACATTTTGTATGACATTTTTCAGATTAAAATACATACGTATTAATTTACAGCCCTCTGTTAATAGCCAACATTTTAAAAGAGTAATACTTCAAAGGCATTACAAATGTTCACAATGAAATAGAGCACAGTGTTTGCTTGTGACATGACATTCAACCCGACTACAGTTACCAGCGCTCAATACATTTTGACTTTACAAAATTGAGACTGAGTGTTTTTGTCCCCACAGGGATGGTAGTTGCGAAGTTTAGTGCACCACGATATTGGCAGGAGTGTTGGGATCTGGATAGCAAGAGCATTCTGTCTACTTCCATTTGTGTTATGGGCAGCCTGGGTATCGGCATTTATATTTACTACATCTCTGCAGTCTGTTGCTGTTCCATGGACTGAAATTTAATCCACAATTGTGTTGTTATTAGTATGCGTCATCTCAAGCTCCAGCACATATTTTCCACTCACCATGTTTTCATGGTGAAAGGTTTCCTAAACTACTATTTAATAAACAATGTTTTATTTGACCGTTTAAGGCCCACAGCTGCCAGCATTGTGATTATCTTGACAATATGCAAATGTAAGACCACAGTATGATCAACAAAGCAATATTACCGAGCAAATCTTGTGTATGAAATGGAAAAACAACGGTTGCTTTGAGAACTGGGTAAGTGTTAACTTTGTCCATGTCTGGGTGTCTATAATAATACAATTTAAAGTTTGCTGTGCTAGTGAGAGCATTTCTATTTTGATAGGTATCCATTAGCTTATAAGAAATGAATTACATCCTTGCTGTGTGTAGTCAACCATGCTCAGCGGAGGAGTGGGGGAAGGACAAAAATTTGTATGCAAAACGCAGTTCTAAATAAATGAGTTTTCAATCTAGATTTAAAAGTCAATAGCTCCAGTAGCTTCCTAATATTAGAAGGAAGAACGTTCCAGATGGTCGCAGAAGCACATCTGAAAAGCACGCGATGCAGTTGATCGTCTTTGTTCTATGGTTAGCCAAAAGCTGCTGCGAGGATGAAAGTAGGATATAGTTTGCACCTCCGATTCGCATGATAGGCTACGTACGGTGCGAAAAAAGGTCAACATGCTTACTTACATATGTGTGAGGCAGAGTGTTCGTGGGGAGAGAGTAAGCGGAAATGTGATTTGAGGAGAGGGTTTAAAAAAATCTTCTTGTCGCCCCTTGTTTTCTGCAGCGTAATCCTGATCAGCCGCAAGGGCTGGCATCTGCTTCTCAACCTCTGCTTCAGCATCGGACTTACGGGCACCGCCTTCGCTGGAGGAATTGAGCAGACAAGCAACCTGCCACTCTGCCAGGGGGTGCGTGCAACAACGTGGGGATAGTCTGTGCATGATCCACTGTGGGGATTTTGGGATTGCATTGCATGTATGTATAAGAGAGAACATTATTTTTCCTCCACTTTTTAAAGTTCAGTGTCAAGAGTGTTGTCATGCTCAAGCAAGTATTGGGGTAGTGCGCATCTCCATTTATAGCCCCAATGCAAGTGGTTGAGAATCGTCATTTCTATGGCATGAGTGAGTTTGTCCAAAGGACAAGCAATGTTGACTTTCGTGCTCATGTTTTCGACACAGTTTTATGGTATAGCGAGGACCCCTCAGATGTACCTTTTACATCGTGTCTGAACATGTAATACGGCCTGTTCGTATGCTACTCATTTAAAAGCACAATTGGCTTCCTTTATAGCCAATACCCATACCTTTGTCTTCTCACATTCATACTTGAGTGAGTGATTCTTCTCTGTATGCAATTTAGTTTGTGACGGGGCTTTGTTTGCATTATTTAATGCATCAAATACTCATCATCTTAGCAAGGTAGTCTATGAGATATGTATGTACGTGAAGTATTTAAATCACTGAATTGTGCAAGCTGAAAAAAAACGATTTAGAATTGTTTTGGTGCCAAAAATAAAGGCTTGTATTTTTCTTCAATTTTTGCATTTGACTTTGCACAACAGTGGTAGTTTTATGGTCTAAGTTCTACTTTCGTTGCTTTATACTGCCCATTTTGTTAATCCCATAGCGCCAATGTTATCATGGTGTACTCCAGGCAATTTCGGCAACATGAAACCACATTGCCATTTGATGGGCTCAATGTTTTGCTCAGTTGAGGCAACACTTGCTGCTATTTATTCGCTGTGGATGGACCTAGCCAACATTCCCAAAGGGCAGGAACTATTCAAATATGCTTATTGTTCCTTTGTTGTGTCCGAATCTCTCAATGTCAAAACAGTGCACAATACATTTCCATTATAACGGCAGAGGGCATATTAATTTGAAATCTATTTTTTTTTTTAACAAACCCATTTAAAGTTAACACTTAAATGTGTCACTGCAAAGTGTGTCAGTAGTGACTGTACTTACATTAATTGGTTTCTCCCACTGACAGACTAACACACGCAACTTTATGTATGTTATATGTGTCCCAAAGTAATCTAATACAATGCATACGATTGTAAGGTTGAGCATGATTAAAAATATTTTTCCATCTCGGTTATATTTTTATCAATTTGTATTTATTATGTTGATATAAAGTACCTATTCATTTATGTATGTGTTATTTATTTAAGAAGTGGCGTGGTTGTGCAAGTGGTCGTTTAGTATTATACAGCAGGGGTCCACAACTCCCAGGCCGTGGACCGGTACCGGTCCGTGGTCTGTTAGAAACCCGGCCGCAGAGCAGGAGGTGACCGGTGGGCGAACGAGCGTAGCTTCATCAGTTTTTACAGCCGCTCCCCATCGCTCGCTTTATCGTCTGAGCTCCGCCTCCTGTCAGATCAGCGGCGGCATTAGATTCTCATAGGAGCGCGAACCCTACTGTAAACTGCGCATGCAAGGGATCTAGGTTGCGTGCTCCTTATGAGAAGTCAGAATCCGACACTTATTTTAGTCCGCGCGTGGCCCGCCCATTATTTTATTTACCACTTCCGTCCGTGCCTCTTTCAAGCACTGCACACTTGTCTCCGTCACAGTTTTGGTAAGCCCACAAGCTAACCCTAGCCAAAATGAGTAAAAAACAAACGTCGCTGGAGAGCTTCTTTAAAAAGGGGGAAAGACCCAATGATGAACCCCCCCCCCCCCCCGGTCCGTGAAAAAACTTGTCTTCCACGAAACCGGTCCCTGGTGCCAAAAAGGTTGGGGACCGCTGTTATACAGGGTGTTTCAAAAGATGGACCCAATTTCAAAGCAGTATATTTCACGATGGCAACATGTTACAATTACACAACAAGTTTCAAACGGTTTAATGCAGGGGTGTCCAAACCTTTTTTAAAGAGGGCCACATTTGATAAAGTGAAGATGCCCGGGGGCCAATAGTTCCTTTTGACATTTTTTTAACCACAAAAGTTACGTGAAAATACACACTGTTATAAAACATTTTCATTGTCACAATTACCTTTATTTTTCAAATGACAATGTAAGCAAATATAAGCCACTCAGGCAGACGTGAACAACTCTAAAAACACAATTCTGCCTTTCATTCAGTCAGATAACATTGAACAAACTGTATAGAATACCTTAAATTTCCATGAGTTAAATAGCTTTGCCTCATGAACATTTTAAACAGGAGTTATAAGTAATGCAAAGTGGTCTGTTATCATTAAACTTTAAAACAAGTGAATTTTGCCCTTGTCTTTTACAAGATCTTTCAGAAAGCAATAGTTTGTATCACATCTACAGGTACATAACGTCAACAGTTATAACCAAATCTTATTCAAGAGTTTAATAAAACAAGTGCCATAAGTCCAAGTGCATTAGTGTGCTTTAGGCTTTTCACTGTTAATAGTGACAGATGTTACCATTCAAAACACTCAATTTCAGATTGATCAAGGAACAAATAACTTGCTGACACTAATGAGAAGGGTGATACTGAGATCTAGATTTCAGTAAAGAGACCAGGTCTGGCTTGAGGGCAGTGGTTGAGATGCGTAAAATGCCACGCAAGTGGGAGTCACTCATCCTTGACCTCAATCGGTTCTTGTTTAAGTTCATGACTGAGAATGTTTGCTCACACAAATATGTGGAGCCGAATAAGCTCAGCATTTTCTTAGCGAATGACCGTATTTCTTTCTTTGCAGTCGCCATGGCAGAAATGACTCGAGAAGGGTTTGCGGCACGGATGCAGAGCCAGATAGAATTAGAATGGTGCTGCCACCGTGTGGTGAAAGGAGGAATTACATCTTTAAAGTTTTATGATTTATAAGACCGAAGCTGCGGGCCGTAATTGGCCCGCGGGCCGGACTTTGGACATGCCTGGTTTGATGAGTTATCAAATTTTACTAACCATTTTATAAATGCTCTATGTGCCCTCCACCTGCTGTACGGACAACATCGAGACGATAGTTTAATTCATCCCAAACGCTTCTCAATGTGTCTTCTTCCACTGAAGTCACCGCTGCCGTGATTCTGTTTTTGAGGTCATCCAGATTAGTTGCTAATGGTGGCACAAAAACACGATCTTTGACGTATCCCCACAAGAAAAAGTCGCAGGGTGTGATGTCTGGGGATTTTGGGGGCCAAGAGTGTAGTGCCAAATCTTGGGGTCCCGTGCGACCTATCCAACGTTGAGGCAGTGTTTCTTGCGAATGACTGAGGCTAGGGGCTGTTTGTGCGCTGGTAGAGGCATCTAGCGGTAATCATTTGAAACTTTATGCCTCGCCATTTCAAGTGGTAAGAGTTTCATTCATGAGCGGTTCGTGGTTTGCAGAGATATAGCGATTTCAAATCGGGTCCATCGTTTTGAAACACCTTGTATTGTGTACATGGTGTGCACACAGCACAGTGAACCCGGCAACCCGAGTGTGATTTTTTTAGCAGCTAACATCAGTGGCAAGTGTGGTATCATCTCGCTCGTCAGGGCGGGCATGGTGGGCATGGAGGGATGGACAGCGGGTGGGTGGGATGGACAGCTGGAATGGTGGGTGGGATTGATGGTAGGCATGTTGGGCGGGAGGGTGGGTAGGTGGAATGGTTGATGGGCATGGTGGGTGGTATGGAGGGTGGGCATGGTGCGCGGGAGGGTGGGTAGGTGGGATGATTGCTGGGCATGGTGGGTGGGATGGACTGTGGGCTGGAGGGTGGGTAGTTGGGATGGAAGGTGGGCATGTTGGGTGGGATGGACGGTGGGCATGGTGGGTGGGATGGATTGTGGGCTGGAGGGTGGGTAGGTGGAATGGTTGATGGGCATGGTGGGTGGTATGGAGGGTGGGCATGGTGCGCGGGAGGGTGGGTAGGTGGGATGATTGCTGGGCATGGTGGGTGGGATGGACTGTGGGCATGGTGGGTGGGATGGATTGTGGGCTGGAGGGTGGGTAGGTGGAATGGTTGATGGGCATGGTGGGTGGTATGGAGGGTGGGCATGGTGCGCGGGAGGGTGGGTAGGTGGGATGATTGCTGGGCATGGTGGGTGGGATGGACTGTGGGCTGGAGGGTGGGTAGGTGGGATGGAAGGTGGGCATGTTGGGTGGGATGGACGGTGGGCATGGTGGGTGGGATGGATTGTGGGCTGGAGGGTGGGTAGGTGGGATGGAAGGTGGGCATGGTGGGTGGGATGGATTGTGGGCTGGAGGGTGGGTAGGTGGGCATGGTGGGTGGGATGGATGGTGGGCATGGTGGGTGGGATGGATGGTGGGCATGGTGGGTTGGATGGCGGGTGGGCGGGCGGGATGGACGTGGCGGTCACGTTTAAAGAACCTGTGGGGCTGCTCATTGTCTTTAAATATGAAAACTTCCTTGAAAATTGAAAATAACATAAAACGCCAAATTTACGAGTAATGGCCCCAACAATCGGAGCAAAAAAACAAAATATCATGACGAGCCATTGCCCGAAATGTTTATTCCTGTTGCAAACAAAACATGCCCGTTACAGCTTGCCTCTCTAAATAAGAAATAGTTATAGCATTAAATGCTCTACGATAGTTGTGTTGGAGTATTTTTTCTGCTGTAGCTTGTACATCAGAGCCTATAAATTGTCTGCATGAGACTAAGATACCGTTTAACCACACTTCATGGACTACTTTTAAATCCACTCGGGGGCATGCACAGACGTGTTGTAAAGCCGTTAATGTACTTTCAGGATTAAGTATGAATGGTTGTAATCACTTAACTTTGCCATATTGAATTCTAGTGTAGTGACATAGAATGGGACACTAGGGCGCGTAGCGCTGGTTACTGGCAGAGAGGGAGATTTGAGGGTGCAGCAGCCCGGTCTGCCGGCAGGGCATGTGATAGGCCGGGGAAAGGGATGTAGGGCAAAGGTGATAGAGGTGACTCGTGAGGTGAAGCCGGGAACCTTCTGGTAGGTTCCAGAAGGAGGCGTGGCCGAGGGCGGAGCCAGGCCACACTGGGGGGATAAAAGGGAGTCCCCGACTCAGGGTTGGGGCTGTCGTCTGGAATGGAACCCGTCGTGCTACCAAGTCTTCGTCCTCGTCTTCACCTCCTCGGCATTGTTGGTCAGGCAGTGTGCCGGCTGTCCTGACCATAGTATAGTTACCCGCTATACCTGTGATGGCTAGAATAAAAGAGTGCCTCCTACTATTAGTATATTTGAAGTGATTCACTACACTAGTATTAAACAACTAAACAGAGTCATCAATAACAATGTGGCCTTATAAGTAAAAAGAAAATGGTAACGTTTAGGGAATGGTTTTTCATAGCAAGTCAAATTATTTATTATTTCTTTATAATGTATGAAGATGGAATGCTGCCCAAAACGTCACCTATTGTGCTTGTGCACCATCGCAGTACCACCAATTATATATTTTCATTTAATAGTGGAACTTTTCTGCAGGTAAACTCTTTTATTGTCCATATTAGTTATTGTCCATATCTAAAATCATTGGAGATGTGCAGCTTGGACAGAAATGTTTGTTTGCGTGATAACGTCCTTATATTTTATACATGTAATTACAATGTGTCATTGCAAGCATTTTTTATTTGATTTGATTACCATTCAAACATCAGTTTAACACGTAGGCTTTCGCGACCAATATTATTCATAATCAACGTTTTTGGGTTTAGATCGCGTTATTTATAAATGTGTCGTAACCCTCCACCACCCGACACGGCCAATCAGTAAAAAAGTGTCACGTTGACAAAAGACAAATAGTTCACTGCTTTAGCCCACCGGTGTGTTGAAGCGTGAAACCACAACAATTTACAATTTGAGTACGACGTTTCGCTGGTAATTGCATCCAGCATCATCGGGCAATTCGCTAGAATGGTGAGGCTCTGCTGTGTCTCCCGTTCTTATATAGAGCAGCAGCAGGGTGACGTCATCATTAACTCATTAACTCATCAGGTGCAAAGATTTGAGGGGGGGGGGGGTTTATTGTAATTATATACTCGATTAGTAATCAGGCTATTCTTACGATGCGAGTTGTAGATTAGTAATCATTTGGAATGTGTTTTATTGTGATTATGCAACATTAGTAATCAGTTAGTGTTTGTTTCCCTTATAAGGAATTGTAATATAACTTATTTAATAATACGCTTCCAGGCCGCACTAAGCCTGTAGCTGTCTGAGCGATTAAAGTTATTTCTGTTTCTCTCAATTTCAATGGATTCTCTAATTAGTCTTTGCCAGTAGTAACTAGTTTTACACAACACTTCAACGTTGTCAAAATCAATTGAGTGTCCCTGTTGGCATGCATGTTCTGCCACTGCCAACACTGGCACTCAGTGTGTCGCTTCTCTCTTCAGCTGATATCGTCACAATAATAGTTCTCTCTCGTTTCCTTATTATTACTTATTTTTACTGCAAGGAAAAATCAATCAAAAAGTATTTCTGCTCAGTGAAAACAATGCGTTCTACAATTGGGAGCACATACTTGGCGGTATTTTGTAAACAAAAATAAAATAGATTGTTGGAGGAACGCATTTGGAAAACGGCAGGATATGTTTTCCCTGGAAATATTTGTTTCTTTCTTTGGATACAAATTATTAAATAAATAGGTGAATGAGAGAAGGATGAAGTACTTTTGGCAAACTGCATTTTAGAATTAAATACAACGTACGTGTGTGCCTGAAGAAGTACGTATTAAATCACTGAAAATTATGGACTGTGAGATGTGGGTCGGAAAAATGGGCACTGACAAAAATAATGGAACCAGAAGCTGAGGAGTTATGCAGAGATGGAATTACATTGAGACAAAAGACGAATGTGCAGATCAGGGAACAAATGTAATTTTGAGAAATCATACTGATTGCTAATAAATGCAAGTGGGAATAAGTTTTACTTATTCTTACCTGATAGAGCTGCTCACCCAGAGCTATTAATGCTCTGATACATGCATTGCTTTGTACTCTTCAGCTTTTGGAATTCTCTGTCTGAAACTGGCGAGACTAGGCCATGAAGAAGGCCGTCTCTGGTGTGGGCCAATTAGTTTCAAGGACAATGCATATATGATGAGAGAATATTGTGTTTGCATGTTCACCACAAGTACGTATGTTTAATGCGGACCTGTTTCCTTGCAAAATGTATCTATTTGGTGTTTGAACATCTCAACACCTGTTATATTGCCAGAAAGGGTAAAACCTATCCTTATTTTCCATAAAAGGAAGTGGGCTTGGGCAGAACACATTACTACGCGGATCATGACTGTTGGAGGAGAGTGGTGATGGAATGGCAACAAAAGGGAGAGAGCATGTCCTGCGTGGAAGGACAAACTCCGCAAGAGATGGAGTACCGAGATCAGCGAATGTGCTGGAGTGAGATGGATTGTGGCATCACAGGATTGTGAGGGATGGCATTGGCATAGGAAGGTCTTCATTCAGCAGTGGTTAGAGATCAGAGATGATAACTCTGTAAAGGACAACAAGAATTATCAGAAATAATTTATACGTGTGAATATGTTTAATGTATGCTAATAAAAAATGTAAATTATGCGATAGCAAATATTACAAAAATATGTATTTTGATGTCTGGGAAAATAAATAACCGTTAAACAAAATTTTCAATTACCCTTTTATGCTATGAACAATTCAGCATATTGCGTATTATGTTGTCACCTCGGTTATTACATTACAAGTATTACTACATTTTAATCTGCATATACAATATAACGAGCCACTGCAATGATCATTGCGACCTATATACACACACACATGAACCTAATATATTTTATATTTCCCTGGTCATTATCTAAAGGTTACGTCATTTGCTTTTTAAGCACATTTGACTGTAATTGAATAGTTCCTCAGGGACAACAGCTTAATTAACAAAACATATTAGGCTGTACAATTTATAAAAAGGTTCACATGTAAATTGCTTAACAGGGGGAAATCTTATCACATGCTAACACTAACAATGCACGTATATTTTTGGAGTTCTGCATACACGTGGAAGCAATATTACGAGTTGAAGCTGGCATCATGAAAGATTAAATTTCTAAAGCAGAGAGGCAAGCGGGGTGTTGTCATCTTTGTTTACATTGTCCTCCAGTCGAATTGCTGTGACAGGAAACCTATGCATTTTGGGTAATTGTGCAGAACGCTTGCAACCAGCTTCTCACCTTTTGCAACAATGTATCACCCATTTGACACAACAACACAGACTCGGGTTGAGAAAATAACTGCCATATGAGAAGTTAACAATGGTCACCCTATGGAAACACTTGCTCCTGCCATTGTAACATGGAATTTTGACATTTTCAGAACTGCCTCATTGCAATGAGTACAATGCGAGGCCCATTTGTAGAATGCACATAACTGAAGTTTAATTTGTCATGCAATATTATGCAATATTAAACTAAACAATTTTTATTTTATTTTACCAGGTCAGTGGGCATGGCCACCAATGATAGCTCAACGAAGTGGCTTATCATGAGGAAATGTATAGCAGCCACATGCTCTAAACGCATGTTTCTAAATGTGGAGGGAAAACCGGAGGACCCAGAGAAAAACCCACGCGACTACGGGGAGAACATGCAAACTCCAAATATACAGGCATAAAGGGTCGGGCTCGAACCCACGATCCTCTTGCATACCAGGCAAGGGAGTTAACATCCTGCCGAGATGTTAACTGTAGCAATGTGTAGCTTTCACGACAAAACACCAACCGTGAATACATATTTCGTCTCCGAACGACCGTCTGCTTGCAGGTGGGGATCCTTCTCCACTATGCGTCTTTGTCCACGGTGCTGTGGATCGGAATGATGGCGCGCAACACATTCCGACAGCTGGGGCCGAGAGAGCGCCCAGCTGAGAGTGATGAGCCTCCTCCGCCTCCACGGCCCATCATAAGGTGCAACCGCGCATGGACACCGCGTGACAAAACGACAGTGGCCTTCTGTTCCAGCGGCGGCTGCTGCTGCTGCTACCTGTATAACACGTGTAACGTGTATGAACGTAAAGGTACAGCTCTGCAATCGCTTGTATGTTGAACTTCTTTCGCACCGTACATAGCCAACCGTGCTAATCGGAGGTGAGGGGGGAAGGGCTACACTTAACACGAAAGCAGTTCTAAAGAAATTAGTTTTCAACCGATATTTAAAAGTACATTGCTCCAGTGGCTTCCGAATGGCTTCCTCCCTCATCTGCTGGTAAAAGGGCATCTTACTAGACAGCCTCTCTAGTGGGTGTTTGGTCTACTCTTCCATAATGGCAAAGACATCTTAGAATAAGTGGGAGGAGCTACGTTTTAGCCCACTGCACACGACCCACCGATTGAAGCATTGCGGTGTACCCATGTACACTGTTGGGTGGACAGAGGCCTTGCGATTTAATACACTTAACAATTGTCTGAACTGTCACTTCAGGAGATGTAATCAAACCAACGACCTCTCAATTGCAAGTCTGGTGTGTGAACGATTATTACAATGCCGCAGCATCACGTGAGAGTGCAAAAAAAAACCTTCAACATGCTTTTACTAATGCATTCACAATGCGAATGTTCACATCGATGTGAATGTTGCCAATTTCCACTCATGTGCTGTGTAATAACAAAGCCTGCATGTCTGTATATGATGTCTGTGACTCTCTTCTGGCTTTTATAATGGAGGGATAGCTTTCACTCCTATGTATTCACTCACATTAACACACACCCTACGTGTACATTTGCACATAGACGTGAACTTGGGTCAACATTTGTCTGTATACTCTTTTGGGCTTTTCGGTAAAGTCACGTAGATAGAAAAACAATAAAATATTAAGAAAAAATCACGACTGTTCAATCGCAACACAAGTAATCGTCTTCAGGTGAAAAAATAAAGCAGGCGGACTGCTGAGGGAGGAATAAATATTTGTCTGTATCTCTGAAAAGGCTGCCAACATATGAAACATTTAATTAATCCAGAGTATAGCCTTTATCCTTTGGGAAAATGTCATTCGTCTATATATTTAATGTCCATTTGTGAAAATAAAGGGTTTTCCTTCAAAAGCATAATCCGTGTCTCATAAATGAACCATAAATATTCACATGCCAAAAAGTATAATTTTTAATAGAGCTTTCATTTTCGTTTAGTTGTTTCATCAAATCATTTTACAATTATTAACGTTGAAGCATACTAATCCCCAAACCTAAACTTTATATTTTGACATTGTGATAATAAATAACTATTACTACGCACCATTTTATAGATGTCGCGGCCAAGTTTATTATTCATGAAACATGACACTTCAATAAAAACTTTTTAAAATATGTACAGTGAGGGAAAAAAGTATTTTATCCCCTGCTGATTTTGTACGTTTGCCCACTGACGAAAAAATGATCAGTCTATAATTTCAATGGTAGGTTTATTTGAACAGTGAGAGACAGAATAACAACAGAAAAATCCGGAAAAACGCATGTCAAAAATGTTATAAATTGATTTGCATTTTAATGAGGGAAATAAGTATTTTACCCCTCTGCAAAAGATGACTTAGTACTTGGTGGCAAAACCCTTGTTGGCAATCACAGAGGTCAGACGTTTCTTGTAGTTGGCCACCAAGTTTGCACACATCTCAGGAGGGATTTTGTCACACTCCTCTTTGCAGATCTTCTCCAAGTCATTCAGGTTTAGAGGCTGACGTTTGGCAACTCGAACCTTCAGCTCCCTCCACAGATTTTCTATGGTATTAAGGTCTGGAGACTGGCTAGGCCACTCCAGGACCTTAATGTGCTTCTTCTTGAGCCACTCCTTTGTTGCCTTGGCCGTGTGTTTTGGGTCATTGTCATGTTGGAATACCCATCCACGACCCATTTTCAATGCCCTGGCTGAGGGAAGGAGGTTCTCACCCAAGATTTGACGGTACATGGCCCCGTCCATCGTCCCTTTGATGCGGTGAAGTTGTCCTGTCCCCTTAGCAGAAAAACACCCCCAAAGCATAATGTTTCCACCTTCATGTTTGACGGTGGGGATGGTGTTCTTGGGGTCATAGGCAGCATTCCTCCTCCTCCAAACACGGCGAGTTGAGTTGATGCCAAAGAGCTCCATTTTGGTCTCATCTGACCACAACACTTTCACCCAGTTGTCCTCTGAATCATTCAGATGTTCATTGGCAAACTTCAGACGGGCATGTATATGTGCTTTCTTGAGCAGGGGGACCTTGCGGGCGCTGCAGGATTTCAGTCCTTCACGGCATAGTGTGTTACCAACTGTTTTCTTGGTGACTATGGTCCCAGCTGCCCTGAGATAATTGACAAGATTCTCCCATGTAGTTATGGGCTGATTCCTCACCGTTCTACTGATCATTGCAACTCCACGAGGTGAGATCTTGCATGGAGCCCCAGGCCGAGGGAGATTGACAGTTCTTTTGTGTTTCTTCCATTTGCGAATAATAGCACCAACTGTTGTCACCTTCTCACCAAGCTGCTTGGCGATGGTCTTGTAGCCCATTCCAGCCTTGTGTAGGTCTACAATATTGTCCCTGACATCCTTGGAGAGCTCTTTGGTCTTGGCCATGGTGGAGAGTTTGGAATCTGATTGATTGCTTCTGTGAACAGGTGTCTTTTATACAGGTAACAAGCTGAGATTAGGAGCACTCCCTTTAAGAGTGTGCTCCTAATCTCAGCTCGTTACCTGTATAAAAGACCATTGGAGCCAGAACTCTTTCTGATTGAGAGGGGGTCAAATACTTATTTCCCTCATTAAAATGCAAATCAATTTATAACATTTTTGACATGCATTTTTCTGGATTTTGTTGTTGTTGTTATTCTGTCTCTCACTGTTCAAATAAACCTACCATTAAAATTATAGACTGATCATTTCTTTGTCAGTGGGCAAACGTACAAAATCAGCAGGGGATCAAATACTTTTTTCCCTCACTGTATACATGAATGATATTGAAGCAAAAATAACGATGCAAAATTTGCTATAAATGTATTTGCCTGCTTCTTATGTCTATTCCGTGGTTCAAGCTGCAGGCAGATACGTCACGGCATCGTCATGATAAAGCAATCATCTTTACTCAAACAATACTCAACACGTGCTATGTGACCCCCCACAGAAGTTTATTGCACATTAATTCACGTACAAATAAAGTACATTCCCTGCAAATTGAAACACCTCAAGTTTGGACCCTCTCGTCATGTATTTACCAGAGATCCAAAACACACCTTTAAGTAAAATTATTTTTTAATTATCCAAGTCCTGTATGCAAGTTTAATACAGTACTCAATGACATCTGCATGCACCCAGAAACCCCCATGTTCATCATTAGCTCTGCCTTAGCTGACATTTATGGCAGTGGCCCTTCAAAGCAGAAGGGACATAGAAAGGTGACATTTGGAGAACCCATCGGCATTGCTAGGTATGTCATCCTCTTATAAGGCGGTGAATGTGGTGAAAGATTTTTGGTTCAACCTTGTGTATGTGGTTATCTTAAAAATGTTTTTACACAACCCTGCTTCTCAAGGTTTAACACAAAAGCCCTCACTACTGCATATGCCAAACTTTAAGGAATATAAAGCCTTCATGCACTTTCTCATAACAATAGTTAGGAGCCCTCTGTTGTATTTTTGAGATGTACTGCGTGCGGTTTGGCTTGCACTCCGGATCTCACTCCATCTGCTTGGAGCTTCTTCAGGAACAACATGGAGTACAACACGAAAACACATTGGAGAGAAATGCAGCCCAACCACACAAAGCTATGCAGTAATGATGCGGTGAGCTGTATTATAAATACACTAGCTTTACTACCCGGCTTCGCCCGAGACTTGGATTCTTGTCTTGGATTAATACACGGCCTACGCGGAGGGTTGGGGGGGTGACGTCAGCAGGCACACTGCGTAATGCTGCCTCACTTGCCGTGCAAAATATATCCATTATTGCGCCCCCCCCAAAATACAAAAGTCAATTTTTATACGTTTTGCATTGTGTACAGTCTGGAAGCTACCCACATGCCAAATTTCATGTTTGTTGTATGTCGGGAAGTATGCTAAACATTTCGAACAGACACACATACTCACAAATTTTTCTTTTATTTTATAGATTATGTCATCACTCATCAGTGCAATGCACCAAGGCCATAGCCATGGAGTCAACATTGGGGGGGGGGACCAAATCTTCCAGGTCTGGGGGTCCCCCCCCATAAAAAAACATATACATTTGAAAACTCATTTCCTGCCTAAAATATAAAAAAAAACAATTCACGAACATATGGGATGGACTTTTTATTTATTTTTTACAATAATGTATAATCGTGTATTGTATTACATTGCTGTTTTAGATTGTTTTTACCTTTTCTTGTTTTATTGTATGTGTAGAGGTGTAACGCGCGCCAAGGGGGCAATTGTAAACACGTGTAGGTTATGGACAGTGGGGTCGCATCAGGACAAGCAGGTGTTGCTGGGGAATAACGCTGGAGAGAGACGGCTCGTTAGGTAATTATGGGATGCAGGGCAGTGATTGGCTGATTGTTGTTGTCAGGGACAAGGTGGCGCCAGCAAGTCTAGGGATGAGAGCAGGTGGCGGCGGGGGGGTGCGCGGGGCGTGGGGGGGGACCGGTTAATTAATTGAAAATTAATTAAGACGGGGATAAATACGGGAGCGTGAGACGAGGAGTTGTGCTGGGAGCTGGACGGAGCAGTCGAGCAGGAGAAGAAGATATGAGGGATAGGATAGGTTAGCAGTGGAGCAGGAGAAGAAGAGATGAGGGATAGGATAGTCTAGCAGTGGAACGGGAAGACAGAAGACACTAGAGAGAGCGACAGTTGGAGTGAGACGGAGAAGCTGAGAGAGAGCGACAGTTGGAGTGAGACGGAGACGAGAGGAGAGACAGTCGGAGTGAGACGGAGAAGCCGAGAGAGAGCGACAGTTGGAGTGA